CAAGACAACACCCTCTCCCCCCTCCCCCTCCATGAAGTCTCAGGAATATCTTCCTTGGTTAAATATCCAGTATTAAATACTTTTATTATTCTCAGCTTTTTTCTGCAGAAATTTGTCTCTTTTTTTGGTAACCTAGCCTTCCTAGGGGAGTTGTGTATCCTCCCTTCCCACAAAATGCCTGCTTAACCGACATCAACATTTCTAATTTCCATTTTTTTATTCATGAGGTACATGTAACCAATCAACAATGAGAGGTATTATGTTTAATTTTTCCAAACTTCCGCCTTAAGAGTTGTGGGCACTGTTTAGTGAGAAACAAGCAATTACTCTAGTAAGTGTGACAAACTCCTTTGTTCAAGTTTTAATTTTTTATGTTTCCTTTATATAAAGTGGAATTATATTAACTGGAATTTTGCCAAATTTCGTCAGATTCTAATGAGTAGATTTTTTTATTTTTTGTCATTTGTTAACAGCCAACAGGAGTATATACAGTATGCCCAAAACTTGTGCAAGCACTGAGATCACCACATGATATGACAAAGTGATGAAAAGCGAATTAATTTGTTCTGACAATTTCTGGGCATTTTTCTCAGCTTATCCTCAATTTTTTCTTGAAAATCCCATTAACTTCAATGTTCTCTTGATAAAGATTTAATTATCAGGGAGTGTTTTAGTGGATGCAGCCTTATGTAATAGAAACTGAATGTGCTCAACTTCCTGTACTAAAAGCTTAAAAGAACTCTAACAAATTGGAAAAAAATAAGAATCCATCAGAAAGGAGATCTGTGCAATGCACTAAGAATAAAGTTGTTGAGATTGGAGGGGGAAACATACAATTCACACAACAAAGCAAACTTTAACGACAAAGTCTAGACACATGGGCTTCTTATAGTTCTTAAAATACTACGGAAGTTCATAATTAAATACAGACTTCAGCCAATTGCTGCTTTGTCCTGATAGCACAAAATCACATCTTTTTATTATTTATCGTGAGGTTATCTTTGTTCATTTGTATACTACTGTAGGTCGACACTCTCTGTAACTGTATAGATACATGTAATAACAGTTCTCTTGTCCAGGAATTTTAGAATGTTAATGAAAAAAAAAAACATTCTTGAGTTATATTTTCTTTTTATTTTCATTTTTTGTACAGGCATGAAAGAAAACCAGGGATTAAAAGAAGTAAACAAAGGCTTGGATTGGCTGGTAAGCTTAATTTATATGTTCATTCATGGTGTGCATGACAATACTCATGACACCTTTCCTTCTTTATTTTTTAAAAAAATAAAATGAAAACAAAAAAAACTTCATTGCACAGTAGGCGCCTAATAACTAGTGAAAGCCCAACAACACCAGCCAAAGCACTGAACGCAGAACATTTTGAACAAACAAAGTCAACTGTTTCAAAACACACATTGTTCATTGTCTAAGCAAGAAAAAGAAAGAGAAAAAAAACATTTTTATAACTGTCTCCTACAATCATCAGGTGTAGTCAAGCATAGTCCTTTAACTAGCCTGGTGGCTTTGACAACTGATGAGCCCTTGTGATCCTATTTTCAACTGGCTGAGACTTGTTAAGTGTTGTACACAGAGTATGGGCCTTGCTAAATATCGCAACACGGGTTTTGGTTGGCTGTTTAGACTTGTCCCCCTGAGCTGGCACTGTTCAGAATGACTGACTCTCTGTTGGCTGAGGTCTTGGGAGTTTCTCTGGAGTAACTTGAGATCAGGCGTTATTTTTTTGTTTGTTTGCTCCTTTGGCTCGAGAGGGAAAAAAATAAAGCCTGATAGATTCATTTAACAAGCCGTTAACCGCCCCCTAATTTACATAATCTAACGTCTGCGGGACCTGTCATGTTATTAGCCAATAAGTGTTTACCATACAGGAATCAAATTTTGGTGCAAATAATGTCTCTTTTAAATCAGTTTTAGGGAAAAGAAAATTTTTAAGTACGTCCATGTTCAGATGGCGCTTCGATTCCTAAAAAAAATTTAATTTTGTTGTTTTTGTGATGAAATACTGCTAGCTGGAGCTGCCGTACCTTTATTTAACAGCTACAAATAATAAAAATTTACTGGTTAAAGCTCGTTGACTTTGTTCTGTGCCGAAAGCAGTGAAAGACAAAATTACCCTGAAGCACCATATTTCACGAACTGAAAGGTGTTGTGAAAGCGAAGATCGCTCAGGATAATTCGCAGATTTCTGAGGGAGGAATTACAGTCAAACCAGGTCAAGATTCCATTCATGTATTGAATATTTGAAAAGCCGAACCCGTTTGTCGGTTCTGTAACTTGTAGCCGGTATCAAATTGCATTCAAATGATCGGTGAAGTTTTGACTGCAACTTTTTAGTATACGATAAGATGGAAATATTTCAATGGATAAAACCTCTATTTAGGCATTCTTCAAATTCAAGAAAACTGAGCGGGCGGAAACTTCATAACGAACTCGCGTGTGTATTCACTGCTCATTACGCAAGCAAAAATGCAGACTGAAATCAACAACAACTAATGGATGGCGGCATTTTGGCCAATCGGAACAGCTCAAATCATCCCTATTGTTTCCTATCCAATCAGAAAAAAGTCCAGATTCTGCCATTTTTACATATGATCCGACAAAGAAATGTACCATGCCCTCCTCCCGTGAGAGAGGGAATGGGTTCACATTCGTTGTGTCGCCCAAACATACGCTGAGCTGGCATTCTCCAGCTTAGTAGAGAAAGAGAATAATCAGCTCCTGATGCTTTGGCTTTCTTGATTAAGCTACTCATCCATTACTTTGGGGGTAGCCAGGGGAGCTGGTTCACACATGTCCAATACTCTCGACCAGATTCCAGTGGACAAAAAAACCTGGCGTCCGACGGAGTCCAGTTGAAAAATGAAACCAGAAGTATGGTAGAGTCCAGTTGAGTTACCGGAAGTGTAGTCATAAGATGAAACCGGAAGTGTAAACAATACTTTGAGGAGGTTGGAAAGTCGTCCAATGGAGTCCACCGCATCCGTTGGAAACAAATCGATTCCGATGGAATCTCAGGAAGTCTAGTCGCGCCATGAGTCAAAATAAGCACACTGCACGTGTAACATAACTCGTTCTTTAAGCCGAGACTAGCAAGCCTAACTTGCGACATAACTCGTCCTTAAAGCCATGAGGCGAAACAAGCATGGTACACATGTAACAGAAGTCGTTCTTAAAGCGATGGGTCAAAACAAGCACGCTACACAAAAAACATAACTCGTTCTTAATGCAATGAGCCGAAACGAGCAGGCTACGCAAATGGCATAACTCGTTCTAAAAGCCATGAGTTGAAACAAGCACGGTACACACGTAACATAACTCGTTCTTTAAAGACCACCAAAGTTAACTCGATCATGTGGCTGCGTTTTCGATCCTGAAACATCATAATCTTAATCATCATGATGATTACTATAGGACTATTAGTAATATCGTCTCTGAAATCTTAACTATGGCTTACAGTGCTGTTAATCATAGCTATGATTCCAGAAGGACCATTAAAATCATCTCTGGAATCATAACCGTAATTTATAGTGCTATTAATCATAGCTATGATTGATTCCAATAGGACCAATAAAATCATCTCTGGAATCATAACGGTGATTAAATGATCACTTCACAAGTGGCCCTTGCAGGCTCAGCACTTTAGCACCCACTAATAAAACACGTACAATCCATTATGACAACAAGAATAATTATACACTGGTCTGAATGTGGGTCACTTCCAGGGGACCGTGATTCTTCTGAATGATGTCCATTAATAATATCGTTTACCGCATATTACTCTAAGCATGTTGTCATAATGGGTTGTGTTTCTTAAGTGAATGCTTAAGTACTGAGCCTGCATGGGCCACCTGTGAAGTGATTTGTTAATTGTTAAGGTACCTCCAAATTCTTTTTGTATTTGTCATTTTGGAGTAAAAGATACGTGTTCCAACTAATAACAATGTTACATACAAGCCACACATGTATTTCAATCAGCTGAGCAGCCAGGATAGTGGTTAACTGAAAATTAGGCTTACAAGAGCACACTACTTTATCTAACCATACATTTTGTAGGAATTTGCTTGAGAAATTAACCCTCTGTTCATTAGTACCGGTAATTTTATTAACATATCACAAACAAAGTTAGATAACAGTTAGAGGCCAACAATCAGGCCATCCTTTTCAGTATACCAACAGACCTGATTTGAGTTAGCAAATACTCAACGACAATGGTTTGCATTTCTCACTTTTTTGTGGGAACAAATTATTATACTTAAGTATCGTTGTAATGAAGCTCATCTTTAACATATAGAAATATAACCTCCTGATCAGGTATATGTACAGTTCAATATTTCACAGTTCACTTGGCCTCCTACTGAATTTATGCTAAAATATTACATGTATCCATAGCCATATTTGAGATGCTTTTAGAACATCACTGTATCTAATGGTAACCATAATACGAGCTACACTTGAGTAGAATTATTAAAAGAAACATACTGGTAGGCAAAACATTGAAACTGACACCACATAGATACAAAATCTATGAAGTTATTGAAACTTGAATAGAATCAGCTGAAGTTTTAAACCTGAGCAATACCGGTATTGAATTATTATGTGTTTTGTAAAATACTTGTGAAAAACATTAAGTGATAAAAAGCTATTTAAACTCATCACAAATAGATGAGCTTGGGAACTGGTGCCTAAAAGGTTAGCGGGGTGCCAGATGCCAAGCTGCAGGGGAGGTATCCATGGCAACCCTGGAACGAAGGGAACCACCCAATCAAAACCCTTCTCCTGGTGCTTGGAGAAAGGAGGAACCGCGAACAGGGGTGACATGGTGCCTCCGATCCCCAACCTGCCCCCAAGTACCAGTAACCGAAAACCATGGTAAAACTACAACATACCTACAGAGGCTGACAAGGCCAAGTCCAAGACCCAGGAACAAGATGCTATAGGAACCAGACACAAGTGCGAAGCAGGCGTTGCAAGAACTCCCATAAGGCCAACTTGATGGAGAGGGCAGCTAATGCTTCAGGTGGCGTCCTTATGTAAAGCTGATAAGCATTACTGGACCAGCGGCCCATTGATTGAATTAAATGGTCAGGTACTCCATTGCCAACAGCAACAGTAGCGGCCCCTATGCGAAAGCTATTGCTGGAGAAGTTTCCCGGCACCCGAGCTGAGGCCATAATCTGTTGAAGCCAATCCGTCAAGATGTTGCGCGAGAGAGGCTGTCCATTTTGCAACAAAAACAAGGGGCCAGGGGCATCTCCCCTAAGCACGAGGTAATTCGTTACAGCACGAACTGCACAGAGTGGACACCTGCCAACGCCAATGTGAATGAAACAGCCCTTCCTAAATGGATCAGTCTTCGAGCCCTTGATCCTGACGCGCATGCAGGATGGAGCTAAGTTAAGCCAAGGGCATCTCCCCTAAGCGCGAGGTAATTCATTACGGCGCGAACTGCACAGACTGGACGCCTGCCAACGCCAATGTGAATGAAACAGCCCTTCCTAAATGGATCAGTCTTCGAGCCCTTGATCCTGACGCGCATGCAGGATGGAGCTGAGGGCGAATCCACTGAAATATCCTGGACACCCAAGTGGAGTGACAATGAGAAGCTAGGCAAATTGGGAACGGTAAACTCCGACGCACGAAGAAAGCCAAAATATCCGAGGGAACAAGCTGCCCAAAACATGCAGTGATCCGGGAGGTGAAGATCTAAAGACTGCCAAAATAACCAGCATCAGATCATCGGTAATAGGAAGTCGGCCAGACGAAGAAGAACCTTGACAGCGCTTGATACCACGTACCACCCGCTGAAGACGAAGACAATTAATAAGCGGATCAGGGAACCAATGGTCGATGTGGAGAGCTCTAACCCCAGATAAATACACCTTGATAGAAGAATGCTTAATGGTCCTAGCAAGGAAGGTGACAAAAAGGCAAAGCGTCCATTCATCGGCCGGGCAGGGTAACCCTGAGGGATTAACTTGAGATCAGGCGTTATTTTTTTGTTTGTTTGCTCCTTTGGCTCGAGAGGGAAAAAAATAAAGCCTGATAGATTCATTTAACAAGCCGTTAACCGCCCCCTAATTTACATAATCTAACGTCTGCGGGACCTGTCATGTTATTAGCCAATAAGTGTTTACCATACAGGAATCAAATTTTGGTGCAAATAATGTCTCTTTTAAATCAGTTTTAGGGAAAAGAAAATTTTTAAGTACGTCCATGTTCAGATGGCGCTTCGATTCCTAAAAAAAATTTAATTTTGTTGTTTTTGTGATGAAATACTGCTAGCTGGAGCTGCCGTACCTTTATTTAACAGCTACAAATAATAAAAATTTACTGGTTAAAGCTCGTTGACTTTGTTCTGTGCCGAAAGCAGTGAAAGACAAAATTACCCTGAAGCACCATATTTCACGAACTGAAAGGTGTTGTGAAAGCGAAGATCGCTCAGGATAATTCGCAGATTTCTGAGGGAGGAATTACAGTCAAACCAGGTCAAGATTCCATTCATGTATTGAATATTTGAAAAGCCGAACCCGTTTGTCGGTTCTGTAACTTGTAGCCGGTATCAAATTGCATTCAAATGATCGGTGAAGTTTTGACTGCAACTTTTTAGTATACGATAAGATGGAAATATTTCAATGGATAAAACCTCTATTTAGGCATTCTTCAAATTCAAGAAAACTGAGCGGGCGGAAACTTCATAACGAACTCGCGTGTGTATTCACTGCTCATTACGCAAGCAAAAATGCAGACTGAAATCAACAACAACTAATGGATGGCGGCATTTTGGCCAATCGGAACAGCTCAAATCATCCCTATTGTTTCCTATCCAATCAGAAAAAAGTCCAGATTCTGCCATTTTTACATATGATCCGACAAAGAAATGTACCATGCCCTCCTCCCGTGAGAGAGGGAATGGGTTCACATTCGTTGTGTCGCCCAAACATACGCTGAGCTGGCATTCTCCAGCTTAGTAGAGAAAGAGAATAATCAGCTCCTGATGCTTTGGCTTTCTTGATTAAGCTACTCATCCATTACTTTGGGGGTAGCCAGGGGAGCTGGTTCACACATGTCCAATACTCTCGACCAGATTCCAGTGGACAAAAAAACCTGGCGTCCGACGGAGTCCAGTTGAAAAATGAAACCAGAAGTATGGTAGAGTCCAGTTGAGTTACCGGAAGTGTAGTCATAAGATGAAACCGGAAGTGTAAACAATACTTTGAGGAGGTTGGAAAGTCGTCCAATGGAGTCCACCGCATCCGTTGGAAACAAATCGATTCCGATGGAATCTCAGGAAGTCTAGTCGCGCCATGAGTCAAAATAAGCACACTGCACGTGTAACATAACTCGTTCTTTAAGCCGAGACTAGCAAGCCTAACTTGCGACATAACTCGTCCTTAAAGCCATGAGGCGAAACAAGCATGGTACACATGTAACAGAAGTCGTTCTTAAAGCGATGGGTCAAAACAAGCACGCTACACAAAAAACATAACTCGTTCTTAATGCAATGAGCCGAAACGAGCAGGCTACGCAAATGGCATAACTCGTTCTAAAAGCCATGAGTTGAAACAAGCACGGTACACACGTAACATAACTCGTTCTTTAAAGACCACCAAAGTTAACTCGATCATGTGGCTGCGTTTTCGATCCTGAAACATCATAATCTTAATCATCATGATGATTACTATAGGACTATTAGTAATATCGTCTCTGAAATCTTAACTATGGCTTACAGTGCTGTTAATCATAGCTATGATTCCAGAAGGACCATTAAAATCATCTCTGGAATCATAACCGTAATTTATAGTGCTATTAATCATAGCTATGATTGATTCCAATAGGACCAATAAAATCATCTCTGGAATCATAACGGTGATTAAATGATCACTTCACAAGTGGCCCTTGCAGGCTCAGCACTTTAGCACCCACTAATAAAACACGTACAATCCATTATGACAACAAGAATAATTATACACTGGTCTGAATGTGGGTCACTTCCAGGGGACCGTGATTCTTCTGAATGATGTCCATTAATAATATCGTTTACCGCATATTACTCTAAGCATGTTGTCATAATGGGTTGTGTTTCTTAAGTGAATGCTTAAGTACTGAGCCTGCATGGGCCACCTGTGAAGTGATTTGTTAATTGTTAAGGTACCTCCAAATTCTTTTTGTATTTGTCATTTTGGAGTAAAAGATACGTGTTCCAACTAATAACAATGTTACATACAAGCCACACATGTATTTCAATCAGCTGAGCAGCCAGGATAGTGGTTAACTGAAAATTAGGCTTACAAGAGCACACTACTTTATCTAACCATACATTTTGTAGGAATTTGCTTGAGAAATTAACCCTCTGTTCATTAGTACCGGTAATTTTATTAACATATCACAAACAAAGTTAGATAACAGTTAGAGGCCAACAATCAGGCCATCCTTTTCAGTATACCAACAGACCTGATTTGAGTTAGCAAATACTCAACGACAATGGTTTGCATTTCTCACTTTTTTGTGGGAACAAATTATTATACTTAAGTATCGTTGTAATGAAGCTCATCTTTAACATATAGAAATATAACCTCCTGATCAGGTATATGTACAGTTCAATATTTCACAGTTCACTTGGCCTCCTACTGAATTTATGCTAAAATATTACATGTATCCATAGCCATATTTGAGATGCTTTTAGAACATCACTGTATCTAATGGTAACCATAATACGAGCTACACTTGAGTAGAATTATTAAAAGAAACATACTGGTAGGCAAAACATTGAAACTGACACCACATAGATACAAAATCTATGAAGTTATTGAAACTTGAATAGAATCAGCTGAAGTTTTAAACCTGAGCAATACCGGTATTGAATTATTATGTGTTTTGTAAAATACTTGTGAAAAACATTAAGTGATAAAAAGCTATTTAAACTCATCACAAATAGATGAGCTTGGGAACTGGTGCCTAAAAGGTTAGCGGGGTGCCAGATGCCAAGCTGCAGGGGAGGTATCCATGGCAACCCTGGAACGAAGGGAACCACCCAATCAAAACCCTTCTCCTGGTGCTTGGAGAAAGGAGGAACCGCGAACAGGGGTGACATGGTGCCTCCGATCCCCAACCTGCCCCCAAGTACCAGTAACCGAAAACCATGGTAAAACTACAACATACCTACAGAGGCTGACAAGGCCAAGTCCAAGACCCAGGAACAAGATGCTATAGGAACCAGACACAAGTGCGAAGCAGGCGTTGCAAGAACTCCCATAAGGCCAACTTGATGGAGAGGGCAGCTAATGCTTCAGGTGGCGTCCTTATGTAAAGCTGATAAGCATTACTGGACCAGCGGCCCATTGATTGAATTAAATGGTCAGGTACTCCATTGCCAACAGCAACAGTAGCGGCCCCTATGCGAAAGCTATTGCTGGAGAAGTTTCCCGGCACCCGAGCTGAGGCCATAATCTGTTGAAGCCAATCCGTCAAGATGTTGCGCGAGAGAGGCTGTCCATTTTGCAACAAAAACAAGGGGCCAGGGGCATCTCCCCTAAGCACGAGGTAATTCGTTACAGCACGAACTGCACAGAGTGGACACCTGCCAACGCCAATGTGAATGAAACAGCCCTTCCTAAATGGATCAGTCTTCGAGCCCTTGATCCTGACGCGCATGCAGGATGGAGCTAAGTTAAGCCAAGGGCATCTCCCCTAAGCGCGAGGTAATTCATTACGGCGCGAACTGCACAGACTGGACGCCTGCCAACGCCAATGTGAATGAAACAGCCCTTCCTAAATGGATCAGTCTTCGAGCCCTTGATCCTGACGCGCATGCAGGATGGAGCTGAGGGCGAATCCACTGAAATATCCTGGACACCCAAGTGGAGTGACAATGAGAAGCTAGGCAAATTGGGAACGGTAAACTCCGACGCACGAAGAAAGCCAAAATATCCGAGGGAACAAGCTGCCCAAAACATGCAGTGATCCGGGAGGTGAAGATCTAAAGACTGCCAAAATAACCAGCATCAGATCATCGGTAATAGGAAGTCGGCCAGACGAAGAAGAACCTTGACAGCGCTTGATACCACGTACCACCCGCTGAAGACGAAGACAATTAATAAGCGGATCAGGGAACCAATGGTCGATGTGGAGAGCTCTAACCCCAGATAAATACACCTTGATAGAAGAATGCTTAATGGTCCTAGCAAGGAAGGTGACAAAAAGGCAAAGCGTCCATTCAACTGCTGGGCAGGGTAACCCAGAGGGATGTAACTTCTCCAGCTGACGACAGAAGGAAATAAACTTTGCTTGGGAAGAAGCATACGAGCGACGGGTAGAGTGGGCCAGGCCTTGGGTCAAGAAGGAATAGTATTGCCGCTCTAAGGTGAAGAGGTCAAAGCTGCCAGAAGTTCCGGGGGGATCCAGGTAGGATGAGGCTGTGCATCCAGAACCAACTGCCTGAAGTCCTGCCAACGAAAATGAGACAGAGCATCAGCTATCTGATTGTTAACCCCAGGCACATGTCGAGCAGAAAAGGAGAAACTATGACGAGCAGCAGACAGAAGTAGGCTACCCAATAACTGCATCAAACTAGGGACTTTCGAGGTCCGGGTGTTTAGAATATGGACTACCGCTTCATTGTCGGAGCGGAACAGAACATGCCTCTTGCACCACATGTGGCCCCATACATGAGCGGCAATGACAGCTGGGAAGAGCTCCTTATAAGCAATAGACTGCTGCTGCGGAGAAGGAGCCCACGAACCCGCACACCAGTAGCCCTTCAGATAGGCCCCAAAACCAATCGAACTAGCTGCATCGGATGACACTTCGACCCCCGCCTCTGGGACCAGACCTGGGAAAAGCCAAAAACTAACGCCATGCCAGTCAGAGAGAAAGTGGTGCCACCACTGGAGGTCCAAATGAAATTCTCTGTTAAGCCGAACTGGGTGATCTTTTCTTCGGAAACAAAACAGAAGGTCAATCATGCGGCGCAAGAAGGTTCTCCCAGGCCAAACCACTTTAGCAGCATGGTGCAGATGTCCAATGAGAGATTCCAGTTCCTGCCTATTGCACCACTTTCGTGGAAGCCACGAAGAAATAAGCTCTTTCAAGGCGGACAATTTCTGGGCAGGGAGACGAGCCACTTGATTAACAGAGTCCAGCTCAATACCGAGGACTACGAGCACAGTCGAAGGACCCACACACTTGCCTGGGTGAAGAGGTAGGCCCAAACGCTTGCAGACGGCTAGAGTGGTGCGTAAATTGTGTGCACATTGAGACGACTCAGGGGGCCCATAGTGATGAAGTCATCTAGGTAATGAAGCAGATCAGGGATCTGATAGGAGTGCACGAGGATCTACTCCACCAAATCGGCGATCGCATTGAAGATGAATGGAGCTGAACGAAGGCCAAAGGGGAGGGCTAGATCAATATAGTACTGGTTACGCCATTTCATCCCCAGCAGGTGACGGTCGGAACAGGAACATTGCGGTACGCGGACTCAACGTCAAATTTAGCCATGAGGGCCCCTTTCCCCAAGCGAGACACTGAGCAAATAATTTGATCAACAGTGAAAAAACAACAACAACAACAACACTTTATTCACATTTCCATTACAGGGTTTGTCAAACTTATTGAATAATTAGTAGCTTAACACGCAGAATATTCAATTACAATTTAAACTAAATATTATTACATAGAAGGAAATGCCTAGCGGCTAGATAACCGTAAGGTTTTCGAGCTAGCAACTAGTTCTTTGAAAGTAGTGTCGAATGTACAGGACATCACAATAACTAGACATACAAAACATCTTAAGACACACACCATAAAAAAAAAGGAAGAAAGCACATAGATGGCAAAAAAAAGAAGAGAAAACAGTCATCAGAGTACATGACGATATGATTAAAATAAAATAATTTCAGTAAGTTAATTGTTCGACCAACAAGTATTCTTTTAATGTTTTAGGAAAGTTATAAGTTGAAAGGTCTTTTATATGGGTAGGGAGCTATTGCCACAATTCGGTCGCCATAGCCGCTGTTGTTTGCTTTCCTATATTGGTCCTGGAACGTGGTTTGTAGAAGTTACTTTTTGAAGCATATCTCGTATTATATGTATGGACTTCACTTGCATAGCGAAAATGCTGATTAAAGATATTTGGTAATTTTTAGAATGCCACTGATGAGTGAAGTTAAGAAGCTGTAGTTTATAGATATTTGTAACAGTAAGTAAATCCAATAAATTAAGTAATGGTAATGCACTGTCTGTATCTGGTCCAAACAAGGTGGCAAAGAACATAACGCGGATAACTTGTTAAGCTGCCAAACAATTTCTTTCTTGCTTGTGTTACCGACTCGGAGATATATAATTTCTTCTTTGGGTCTTGAGAAAGATCCCGTAGAGTGCCAACTCTACCAACTTCTTTGCCGGCGATTGTTTTCCTCTTTCCGTAAAACTCGTCCCGAATACTGCGACGCGTAGACTTGACGATAATCTTGTCTTCTGCACTTTTATTGTAAGTGGGTAAACGGTGGGCCGTGGAGATGTCTTCATCTTGCAGCTCGATACCCATTTCCTTCCCAAGAGAACAAACAAGGTCAAAACAAGATACTTCTTCGGTTGGTAAAACGCCTGTCAGTGATGTAATGAAGAGTAAACTCATCTGCGCTAATCCCATCATTGACACTAGCCCCCCAGGGGGAAGACAAATCCACAATGAGACGCCATTTGCCTGGTTGGCCCTTTTTCGGAATGACACCAAAACTACTAATTTGGAGGTTGGGGACCCTACCCAAAGAAACCTCATTCGCTAAATAAGCATCAATGACAGAGGCATGCTGAATAGCAGACGGCTTGTTCTTCTTAGCAGACTTGAGCTTTTGGGAAGGGGAAAAACCTAATTTAAACCATGGCGAATGCCATGCAGGACAAAGTCAACCTGTGGCCGCTGGGGGTGGAAGCGCAACTCCCGTGCAAACTGCTCTGCCACTAAGGGAGTAACTGCTGAAACTGGGGGAAGAGGAGCTGGAAAGGAAACGCAAAGCATACAAAGTAAATAACTAGCCCCATGGCAAAGAACCCCCACAAACCCCAGAGGAAGGTGCGCAACAAAACAGCTGGGACAGTCAACATAAAACAACTAGCTTTAATGATGCCCTAAGAAGTACATGTGGAAGGCCACTACTAGGAGGCAGACTAATTAAACGAGAGTATCAAGTTACTTGGGAACAAAAACAAACTCTTATAAGTCCAGTAAGGTCTGCACTTGAAAATTTGAATCGTCTGACCTAAGGCAACCTAACAATGATACCAGTGAACACCTGACAACCAACGAATCTGATCGAGTTCACTAGCACCTAGACTTGCTGCTTGAACGGAGAGGGGAAGCATCAACCGGCCGTTTGGAAGAAGGACGAGACTGGCTTGATGCCTCACCACGGCAGGCTCCAACACGATGCGGGCCAAAGCAACTAGAGCATTTGTGAGCAGAGCGGCACGACGACGAGGGAGCAACACAATGGCCTCGATTCCAAGACTTGCAAATAATGAGCGAAGACGGTGCGCCGCGGGACTCAGAAAACTCCTCCGAAAGTTCCCCGAGAGAGCGTACCGAAGCCCCAGCTGCATGGAAATTAAACAACTGCACATTGATGGTTGACCAATCTGTGAGGTTCGAGGCAGCAGCGTGTTCCCGCAAAGCCCGATCATACGCTAACCAAACTCGGCCAGCGAACTGACGGCGAGTCCGGAGAATGAGCAGCTGATACTGCATCAAATCCTTCCAGCGATGCAGGAAATGGGAGGATAAAATCAGACAATAAATCGAAAAGGCTTCCAACCAACTGGTTATGTCGTCAACGCGTCGCTTGGGCTTTTTTGGAGTCGACGTAAGCACCAGCCGCCCGTCAAACAGCAATTGAGGTTCGGGCTCATTTAGCACCAAGTTCGTAGAAAGCAGTTCGTGCAACTCGACAAACTTGAAAGCAACGATCTGGCTCACAAGTTTTGCAGGCACCGGTGAAAAGCCGGGGCCCACGACAAAGGGCTGCTGCAAAATAGACGTCTGGGCCAGCGAAGAAATACTACCGACGCTAGGCGAAGCGGTCACGGCGGCAGTATTGGTAGAAAGCGTAACGGCGGTTATCGGTGAGGCAACTGTAGTAACAAAAGCAGGTACAACAAAATCAGGCCTACCTTGGACCGTGGCAGCGGAAACAGCTGGTGAGACAGACGAAAAACCAACGCCAGAGGCTGCCAAGCTTGAGGCTTGGGCATCGAGTTGGCCAGTAGAAGACGAAGACGAACGCGAACCAGGAATTCCCCCAAGCTAGGCCGCCATTGGCACGCTTGAAGCAAAACTAGTGGCAGGCGTTGAAGGCAGATTCGAAGTTTGCTCGGCCGCTAGCGCTTGCTTGACAGCACTTACAACGGCGGCCAGAAAGGCAGGAGAAGGCTGGTCCGACATAGGTAATTGGGACGTTGCAGATGGGTCCGCTGACCCTGTACTAGGCAAACTAGAGTTCGCCGCCGAACTGGACGGGTTGCTTTCAACAGGAGAAATCATGGCATCAAAAGCCGGCACTTGGCTGTTACGTGTTGTCCTGGACGTCATATCGTAGCAAACGAAGGGAAGAACAGCAATAAACCGAGCAAGAATCCGTAATGATTCGCAATAGCAAAGCGTTTGATCCGCAAAGATCAGCTGATAACACCGCACGTGTAAAGCAATAAACCTTGAAACCCTGTGAAACCTCTAGAGGCCACCCCAAAGGTCACGTACTGCAGATGAGGGAGACCGCTGGCTGCATTTGCTCACATTTAACTTGCCTAAATGATATTTAGCCACATATAAAACATTACATAAATCAGTGCTGGTCACTTTACACATCAACTAGCTGTAAGACAGAAACTAAAGCTGGATGATTCCAGGTCTCTTCCATAAGGGCCAAATCCAGAAAAATGAAAGAAATATGCTTTTTATTATATTTTTATAAATGTCAATGAAATAACAGGTGAGCTTGTGTTCGAAAACATGATATCTTCACAAGTCAAAATAACATGTTATCTTTGCACATGAAAAGATCACCATTGCTATGGTACATTTTACAGCAAAAAAATTAGTATTTATTTAATAAGTGAAATGGCTAAGTATTTCAATGGTATAAAATAAATGGGACATATTGCATTTCATGGCCGCTTGGAGATATGAAATTTCTCCTCTCATGTTGAAACAATATTACACTGCTTCCAGCAAGGCTTACCCTTCCTTCTCTGTTGGATTGGTATAAATCATACCTTTGTTGAGAAAAGCTACAATCATGGACAAAATTCTTATAACAAGTTAGAGTTAATTTGTGTTCTTCATGTAAAATCATGCATTCCCAAGCCTATTCTGAACCCTACAGAACATTTGTTGGATACATGCATGCAGTTTCAATATGTAAAGGGTGTGGGAAAACAGTGATAGATTTAGTACAGGGTACTTTTCAAAAGGGTAGCACCTTTCTATGTGCCAGGGCAAAAAGAAATTACAAATAAACTACCTATACTGAATCATTGCTCCAAAGACTTTCCATGCAGGATTGTAGCTTTTAGGCTGACTATTAGACAGTGGTACTACATCTTAAGAAGGGACAATAAATTCCTTTTAGGTTGTGTTTTGCTTTCCCCCAGTGTGAATAAAGAGGTGTTCTCATAGCAAATTTACCCATTCATAACCTTAATATCAGTCTTGTGTCCAAAAATTATTCATGTCACTTAAACACAATTTAAAGAAAGTATTGTCTGGAGCACTATCACATGGCTAGGGTTTATTTCCATGCTCTAAAATGTTGTCACACACTTACATAATGGGGAAACATACGGCCAGTTATTTAACAAAGTTTATCCAGTGTTTAACAAAACTGGGTTCTAAGCCAATTTGCCCAACGGTTTTATCTAAACACTATTTATTGTGATAGTTTTATGAAAGCATTATAGAGTAGACTAGAAAAGTATTACTTCTTAAAATAAGCCACTAAGGAAGAGATCTGGAGGTTGAAAGATTTGTTAAACTGCGGCTTAGGTTAGACTTCGTTTAAATAACCGGCCCATTAGTGTCTGCGGTAACAACCACAAGCTAGTAAAGGTCTTTACTATTACTTCTCTTCTCATAACTGTACTTAATAAAAAATTTTCTTTGCCATTGTATCATGCACTGTACTTTATTAGCTTTATAGCCACTGCACTGCTTTCATCCCATTCTCTCCTGAATTGTGCAATTGCCCATGTGGATCAATGCCCTTGTCAAAGACAACTTTGTCATCTAACTTGTGCAAAGGGAAGAGTAAGCGCAAATATTTAGTATGGGGAGCCAGAGGAAAAGACTAAAAAAAACATGCAACATTGATTTCAAAATTACAATAATAAATATGTTCCACTTAACCAATCACTTCCTTCTATCATACTATTCAAAAAGCTTTCTTGTAATATTTCCCCACCCAAAATGAAGCCAGTAACAGTGCACATTGAAAGAAAAAAAGGGTAGAAATAAAAGTGAAAAAAGAAGGGAGGGGGAAAAGCGAAATTTGTAACTGCAGCTGTGTCACTTTAAAACCAAGAAACTACCCCACACTTTCTATGCACGCCCCAACTTTTGAAAATAATATTTTAAATTTGCATCTGTAACTGAACACAGCAAAGTTAACACAGCCTTTCAACAGTCTTTTCGTAAGATTTAGCTCTTAATATTATAAACCAGACAGTGACTAGAAAACGAAGCCACTAGCTTCAAAACAAGCTTTTCAGCAAAATTCCTAGGAGGGGAATGGGATAAAAAGCAAAACAAAAACAACAAAACAACAACATGCTGAACTAAAAGGATAACTGTTACAAAGGGAACAGGAATGAAAAAAGGTTTATCAGACTGCTTTGAAGGGGCTGGTCTTGCTTGTCCATGCTGATCAGCCAGCTCTAGGAACTCCCGCACCTGGAGCTGACTGATGCCTGGCCTTTCCAAAGCTTCAAGCAAGGCCTGTCCCTTTGCCCTTCTTTCACCTGTCACCATTTGTGCCTTCTTCAGGAATAGCCGCCTTCTGCAAATAAGACCTGACCGTCAGAATTGAGGGGTGGAATAACAGCTTTAGTAGGTACAGGGGAGATTTCTGATCTTTTTTTGAGACATTCTCCTTGTTCCTGATGTCATTGGGGGAACCAGACCTGATAAGTTTCTTCACTTCCTCATCTCTCTTTACCTATGAAAGATTGCAAGAAAAAGATTTGACAGAGAAGTCAAAATTAAATAGGGTGGTTTGACTGGATTTTTTGGGGGGAGGGATACCTTCCAAGTTTAAACATTAACTACGTCGGCATGAGTAAAGATATGGGAAAAAGGTTACCACAACTGTGTTTTATTGTAAATGGAGTCGCCGTGGCAACCTAGTGACGCCATTATGTTTTTTATTTATCTTTGTGTTTCTCTGCACCAGGAGTCTTTTTAAGAAATGGCTTAAGGGATTATGTACCTACCATAATTGTTTAAACAAATTCTGTGAGAGCATTTCGGAAATGTTTTGAAACAAAGTTTTTAGAATCATAAAATCAGTGAAATAGCATGCTATCTACACAATTAGCTTATATCTTATGAAAATGTTAAGCTTTGGAAGCACGGCTTCATCTCATTGTGGTTTAATTCCATTGAAAACTGCTGTGTACAAAAAAAAGGCGAATTGCTCTGTGCGATTGTGAGTAAGAAGAATTTTATTAACCTGCATTCAGCTGCTTTTGTTACAGTTTTTGCACATGATTTGGTCCATGCGTACAAATTTCACATTATTCAAAAAACCTCTCCCTAAATTTTTTCATAAACTTTACGATCTTATGATCAATCGTCAGTAAATATAACCTGCAAGTTTCAAGAACATTGAAAGCAGGGAAGGCTTTTAAAAAGGGCCACCAGTATAACCAGGGTTGTCAGAAATGTTTGAAGTAGACGGCTGAGTTGTCAAAGTAAGCGGGCAGTCCAGGGATATTTTCTTTAAAAAAACGTCATCTGCAAAGAAATGCCAAGCAGAGTAGCTGGCCGATACTAACCATTTATGCGGCACTTTTTGCTGGCAGCCGGCTACTTTTGACAACCGTGTGTAACCAAATTTTCCCTTAGTGAATGTCCTCATTAATAATTCACTGGCGTTGTTTTCAAGTTTCATATGCACATGCACAATTGGCAAAAGAAATAAAATTTACATTTAAAAGAACTCTCAATTACTGTCCGAAGAAATATCCAGAAAATGCTAATAATTGGCTTGTGTCATGGATAGCAGTGAGAGCCGAAACGGTGAACGTCATGGCTCATCATGTAGGATGCAATACGTAATTATCTTACTCGGGTTATAACATAACAGCAACTTTTGGAAAGAGTTGCTGTGATTTTCTTAAAACATTAGCTGATTGTGAGGATAGCATGCTATTTCACCGTTTTTATGATTCTTAATACTTTGTTTCAAAATACACTGTATTTCCAAAATGCTCTCACAAAATTTGTTCAAACTTTGCCATAATTGAAGCAGGTATATACTCTCTTAAGCGAGTTCTTGAAAAAAACTCCTGGTACAGAGAAACACAAAGATAAATAAAAAATGTAATGACATCATTACATTGCCTTAGAAAATCCGATTGCAATAAAACCCAGATCATAAGAAATTTTCATCTTTACATAATACAGTTGGGGTAACCTTTTTCCCATATCTTTACTCATGCTGACATAGTTAATGCTCTAGCTTGGGAGGTATCCCCCCTAAATCCAGTCAAGCCACCTTAGTTCTGGCTCTGTTAAACAAACTCTTAAAAAATATACTAACAATTCCAAAGTCAACAGTTACATGTATGACAGTAACTCACTGTAACTATTAAGTCTTCTTTCTCTCTTTTTCTCTTGAGGGTATGACAAGTCATAAGAGGCCCAGTAGAGGTCTTATATCTGACATAAAGAGGACATAGCTTGATCAACTTGTTTTGGCTTGAATGTGTTTTCGAAAGTAACATAGACGAATAATTCCTCACATCAGATGTTGCCAGAGAGTTTCTTTTTCTACCTGCTTTTACTCACTGCCATAAGAGTTTCTGAGTTGCAAAACACACGCTAAGGCCAGACTCAATTTGATTGGAGGGGAGGGTGATATTCTGCAGATTAATTTTGCTGGAAAAAAGTTTTGTAACAAAATCTCTCTCTGATCGTGAGCAAAAGATATATAGTACCAAGGTCATTTCATGCCAACATAATTATTGAAATTTGTTTAACACCTTCTGGTAGTTTATCATTCAGAATCAAGCCAAACTTTCAGAAATAAAAATTCTCGACCTAATGCTATATGTGGTGTATGTGCTGCAGCTGAAATGCATTCTTGTCTTAAATCAGAGCTTTCTTTAGACTAATTTTTCTGTGCTGGAGACTTTCATTCTATTCCTCTAAACTACAATAAACAAGTTATTACTAGTGTTATTGTTTTAATAAACCTTTTAAGAGTATCCTTTCTCTAACATCTGTTATGTTTGATTGTTGCATTGTAAAATGGAAGTCCATGACAGACAATAGCATGGTGTACATGTTTTCATTGCAGAGTGGGTTCTCCCCAC